TCACACCCACACGAAAAGGTCAGCATGTGAGGTCATGGAGGTGCTAATCAAGCAGATGGTGGAAATCCTTCCACAACGTGCACATATATCTAATCACCACAATGCACACTTCAAATATCTTAACATTTTGTTTGTTAATTATACCTCAATAAAGCTTAAAAAAAAAAATCTGTCCTTTTCCCAGCCCTGGTCTCAAGGACTCTTCTCCTGGGAACTACCAGAATCACCACACCAAGAGTGATCAGACTTTATTCAATGTTAGGTCCCTTCCGTGGCTCTCAGTATGTTTCCTGAAGGTTCGAAAGTTTGTTTTATTACCCCCAAAAAGTAATTTCTACATACATATGTAAAGCATTCCTCTGGAGAGAAAACAATAGGGAAGAATATCAAAAACACGTGAATTTCAGTGCTAACTTTCCTCTGTGAGCAAAGATGACTTCCTATAAAACTACAAGTCACTCAAAATGAAGTATCAACACATGAAACCATTGAGAAATTCCAGCCACCAGTAGCTTAGATGAAGGTGGGCTGGCTCACTTAAAAACAAATAAATAGGCGCTGGCCCAGAGGCACAGTGGTTAAGTGCACATGTTCCGCTTTGGCGGCCTGGGGTTCCCCAGTTCGGATCCCGGGGGTGGACCTACGCACCGCTTGTCAAGCCATGCTGTGGCAAGCGTGCCACATATAAAGTAGAGGAAGATGGGCACAGATGTTTGCTCGGGGCCAGTCTTCCTCAGCAACAAAGGGGAGGATTGGCGGCAGATTTTAGCTCAGGGCTGATCTTCCCCAAAAAAATAAATAATCAATCATTAAAAAGAAGTTCAATCTGGACCCCAACTGGCTAGCTTACTGTTCATTTCTTTAGGAACAGGACTGAGTTAATTTGGAGGTTTTATCAAGGATATGTGTTATGCTTCTCCAGCAAAGACTCACAATGGACAATTAAGGGGTTGGGCTTCTCCTTGATCTGTTAGAAATCTCTGGTCACAAAGGTACTGCGGCATAGAATTTTTAAGTTAGAACCTCTCATACTTGAAAACCAGAGAGTTAAAAATTTGCTCTTGAGCCAGCCCCAGTGGCCTAGTGGTTAAGCTCGGTGCGCTCTGCTTCGGTAGGCTGAATTTGGTTCCTGGACGCAGACCTACACCACTAGTCAGTAGCCATGCTGTGGAGGCGGCTCACATGAAAAAAGAGGAAGATTGGCAACAGATGTTAGCTTAGGGTGAAACTTCCTCAGGGGGAAAAAAAATTGCTCTCATGTATAGTGGACAAAAAATGCAAGTAGGTTAAAAACTACCTTCAAAATGTGTTTATTTAAACATGTAGCCTGGTAACATGGGAACCAGAGGATGGTGTCCATGAAATCACACCCCAGTCTGTCCTCAGCCTTGGTTCAAGAATCTAATAAAGAGCGCTGTGGTCCCACCATGCTACTAGACGTCTGGTCAGACAAAATGGGTCACAGTGTTCCTTTAGGATCACACTTGGGAAATACAGAAAGCCTTCAGCACAGCACTTCAACATCTGCTAGAAAAATCACGTCAGCATTCTGCAATGGCTAGGCAACAGCAGCAGCTGCCATGTAATGACAAGCTTGTGGCTGAAAACCAGAGCTTTTCCCCAAGACAGAAGGCTTCCAGGGAATTGTCCAACACTCAGTGGTGATAACGACTGAGTTGCCGGACAAATATCCTGGGAGGAGAAGGATTCCATCGGGTCACTCGGTGGAGTCAATACATGACACGGCCAGACATGGCCTCTTTACAGTGTAAAGAATGTGGTGCCAAATTCTGCACTTGTTTAAGAAGGAATCTAAGATTCTGCTGTGCTCCAGGCTATAAGGTCAGACTACAGGGCTCTCTGTGGGACATGCCCACCCTCCAGCCCCACCATTATAATCCCCACTCTGAGATGACCTCAGGGACTCCGAACTGTCTTCCTGCTATTGTTTCCATTTTCAGCAGGGCCCAGCCTCTGCCATCTCTGCACAAGTGCGTAGTCACACGGCAAAGCTGGGCCTCGGTTCTCCAGTGACGTAATCAGAGAGTCAGGCCCGGGAGAAAACAGCAGCCACGGCAGACACAAACCCAGCGAGGGCACACATGAAGCAACACCAGCGCTGGTCCTGGCTGCTCGCCATCTGGTAACACCCCTTTGCCAAAGGATCATGGCAACTGGAAATCCTGACCTGCGCCAGCAAGTTATTAACCACAAGCACCACTGAAAACTAGGCATTGGGATCTTTGACAAGAAGCTTAACTGAGCCAGCATCACGTGTGTGGCTGTGAAACCACCTAAGTCCAGCAGACAGAAGTCAAAAAGCCTCTAAGAAGTTTAGCAAGGGACGGAAAGGGGATTGGATCACAGATCTTCTGAGATGGGTGGAACCGAGCATCACGTGCGTTAAAGGGACAACGGTGTCTGGTGAGTCTCAAACTTCTACTGCCGGAGGATCACTTCCTCCAGGGAAAGAACCTTGAGAAGCTTCGACTTCTCCTAGTTCTACTAGTCATTCCCCCTTCCCCCACCAAAAAGGCAAGAAAAGTATGACGAATTCCACCAACAGATGAAACACAATGTGGTACACATACAAAATGTGGTACATACACACAACGGAATCTCATTCAGCCTTAAAAAGGAAGGAAATTCTGACACACGCTACAAGGATGAATCTTGGAGACACTGCGCTAAGTGAAATAAGCCAGTCACAAAAGGACAAATACTGTATGATTCCACTTAAATGAGGCAACTAGAATAAGCAAATTCACAGAGACAGAAAGTAGAATAGTGGTTACCAGCGGCTGGGGGAGGGGAGAGTGGGGAGTTACTGTTTAATGAGTAGCGAATTTCTGTTTGGGATGACGACAAAGTTCTGGAAATGGATGGTGGTAATGGTTGCACAACATTGTGAATGTACTAATGTCACTGAATTGTACACTTAAAAATTGTTAAGGGGCCGGCCTGGCGGTCAAGCGTGCACTTTCCGCTTTGGCAGCCTGGGTTTCGCTGGTTCAGATCCTGGGTGTGGACATGGCACCACTTGGCACGCCATGCTGTGGCAAGCATCCCACATATAAAGTAGAGGAAGATGGGCACGGATGTTAGCTCAGGGCCAGTCTTCCTCAGAAAAAAGAGGAGGATTGGCCACAGATGTTAGCTCAGGGCTAATCTTCCTCAAAAAAACCCAGAAAAACCCAACAACAACAACAAGAACAAACTGTTAATAAATGGTAAATTTTGTTATGTATATTTTACATACAAAAAAATTTAAGTATGAACAATGACATTGTTTTTAAGGACACATGACTAAGATAATGTTGAAAAGACTATTATTATTAAGTAAACCATTCACATCAGAAATTCTAAGAACACTCTAACAGTGGAACATCCGTGCTGATGAGCACTGGTGGACCCCAGACCAAAATATGACAGCCAATTCCCTCCTTCTAGTCCAGTCTCTTGCTTCTGTGGAGGAATAAATTCAACCATTTGGAGTCAGATGCTTCATTATTTAACTAAGTATTAGAGCCATCACAGATCTTTGAATTCAGGGCCCATATTTGTTTAAACAAAGACCCAGTTTTCACTGAACTATCCACCAAAACAATGGAGTTTAGAGTAAGACCTGCACTTAATATCACGAACCAAACCCCGAAAGTGTCTTTATTTTATCAAGTTGAGAATGCTATCCCATGGAAATGCAAAATTATGACTTAAAGGACTACTCCTTTGGATTAGTTAAGCATCTTGTGTGGATTATTCTTTCAGAGTTTGGATTAAAATGGAAGTGGGTTCAAGAAATTAATCCACACCTCTGCTCCCAGGGCCTCTCCTTTGTAAAACCTCTTAATACCAGTTTTTTGCTCTCTAGTTATATATTTTCAGGAGAAGCCAAAATTATTCATATTTATACTGGACACATTCTCAAAGCTTCTCCACAGTGCCAGGCACGGAGTGATTTACTAATTAAGCAGTCAAGCCGATGAATGGAGTAGCCGGGCAGATAACGTGGACCACAAGCCAAATGACTTGGCCTGATTATTCAGTTGGGATGTTTACTTATTCATATAAAGCTTGATTTCATTTTCTTTTCATTTTGTGCATTATTTCAGGCAAGGCATGATGTTCTCAAAGAATCAAGAGGGTTTATCTAGGTCAGGCAGGAGTGGATGGCCAATTCAGATTACAATATTGGCTAAAAAATGTCATGGTCTCTGAGATTTCTTTTAAACCTATTTGAAAAGCTGTCTTAATAGAACTATAACAACGAATGTAATGTGTGATCTGAATTGGACCCTGCATGAGAACTAGGGTGAGGGCAGAGGGTTATAAAGGATATTATTGAGAAAATTGGCAAAATACGAATATGATCTGTAAATGAGATAAGAGTATTGTATCAACCTTAATTTCCTGACTTTGATAACTACCATAGTCATATCAGAGAATGTCCTTACTCTTAGGAAATTCATGTTCAAGAATTTATAAGTAAAGAGAAGTGGCATCTTATTCTCACATCTGCAACTTACTCTCAAATAGTTCAGAAAAAAATTATATATATAGGTATATATCATGAAACAATGACAGGAGAAGCTAAGTAAGATAATAATTGGGAAACATGACTAAAGATATGGGACTTCTTTGCACTATTTCTAACTTTTCTCTAAGCAGAAAATAATTTCAAAATAAAATTTACAAAAAAATTTTAAGGCTGATTTAATAACTCATTCATAGGGGTAGTATGATCTAAAACAAACCCAAATTAATATGGTATTATAAATTGTATGTCTCCATTAATTTTAATATTGTATTAGTGGCATTCTTAACCAGGAAAACACTACTTGAGTTCTAATTGATTATAAAATCATTAAATCTCACGCTTAGAAGGCAAGGAAGGTCAAAAAACTCAAGTACACATCCAGTGTAGCACCATAAGGATTTCAACAAGGTAAAAAGGAAGCAGGGCATGAATCATGAATCAAGCACAGAAGAGGTTGTTCTACCTTGAACTGCTGTTGATCTCTGCCCAGCCCAGTTTCCATGACACGTGAAGCAAAAGTCCACCAATTAATGTCTGCCACCTGAAAAGGACAAGGGCCAGTGTGAATTTAATAGAGCGCCATAGTCTCCAACGCCATCCAGCCCCAGCAAATCTGTCAAGCGACACAAATATACATATCCCATCCTTCTGACAACTCTTTTCTCCCACTCTGTCCTAATTATCATCCCAATTCTCAGACCTGTCCTTCTCAACCCTCTACTATTCCCTTCAGTCCAGCTGTACCATTCAGTGCAGACACTGATAATATTCTCTTCTTATTACAGACTTTTCCTGAACAACCTCACCCACAGCCACTTCTCCCGTTGCCTCTGCACTGATGATTCCTAAATGTATGTTCTCACCTGGATACCACCACTGATACCCCACAAGCTCCCAATGATAACATGCCTAAAACATTATCTTGAACTTCCCTACCATCCTGATCATCCAAACCAGAACACTAGACGTCATCCTAGCCCTCCTTCCACTGTCACCTCTCTCATCTACTTGCAACCTCACAGCAGGTCGCAACTGCAAAGTCTTCCCCTCTCTATTCCTTCTGCCTGATTCAGGCTCTCATCATCTCACACCTAGACCACAGCATTAGTGCCCTGACCGGTTCCCCTCTCTCCAGGGTTGCCCCACACCACCTATTCTCTACTTTGCGGCCAAAGGGCTTGTTCTAAAATGCAAACTTAACTTTGCTGTTTGCTTTAAAAACAGCTGATTCTTGGGGTCGGTCCCATGGCCAAGTGGTTAAGTTCACGCGCTATGCTTCGGCAGCCCAGGGTTTCGCTGTTTGAGATCCTGGGTGCAGACACAACACCGCTCATCAAGCCAGGCTGAGGCGGCATTCCATGCCACAACTAGAAGGACCCACAACTAAAAAATACACAACTATGTACTGGGAGACTTTGGGAGAAAAAGGAAAAAATAAATAAATAAAACAGTTGATTCTTTAACAGCAACACAATAATAGTAGGGGACCTCAGCACCCCACTTACATTAATGGATAGATCATCCAGACAGAAAGTCAATAAGGAAATAGTGGAATTAAATGAAAAACTAGACCAGATGGATTTAATAGATATATATAGAACAATTCATCCAAAGACAGCAGAATACAAATTCTTCTCAAGTGCACATGGAACATTTTCAAACAGACCATATGTTGGGAAACAAGGCAAGCCTCAATAAATTTTAGAAGACTGAAATCATATCAAGCATCTTTTCCAATCATAATACTATGAAACTAGAAATAAACTACAAGAAAAAAGCTGAGAAAGTAACAAACATGTGGAGACTAATTAACATGCTACTGAATAACCAATGGATCAATGAATAAATTAAAGGATAAATCAAAAAATATCTGGAGACAAGTGAAAATGAAAACATACCATACCAACTCATATGGGATGCAGCAAAAATGGTCCTAAGAGGGAAATTCATAGCAATACAGGCCCACATTAACAAACAAGAAAAAAATCTCAAATAAGCAACCTTAAACTACACCTAACAGAAATAGAAAAAGGAGAACAAACAAAGCCCAAAGTCAGCAGAAGGAGGGAAATAATAAAAATTGGAGCAAAAATAAATGAAATACAGGGCCGACCCCATGGCCAAGGGGTTAAGTTCGAGCGCTCTGCTTCGGCAGTGCAGGGTTTCACCAGTTTGGATCCTAGGCATGGACCTAGCACTGCTCATCAAGCCATGCTGAGGCAGCATCTCACACAGCAGAACTCTAAAAGGAACTTCAACTAGAATACACAACTACATACTGGGGGGCTTTGGGGAGAAGAAAAACAAGAGGAAGATTGGTGATAGATGTTAGCTCAAGGCCAATCTTAGAAATAAATAAATAAATAAATGAAATAGAAACCAAAAAAATAGTAGAAAGGATCAATGAAACTAAGAGCTTGTTCTTTGAGAAGATAAACAAAATGGACAAACCCTTAGCCAGACTCACTAAGAAAAAAAGAGAGAAAGTTCAAATAAATAAAATTAGAAACGAAAGAGGAGAAATTACAACAGATATCACAGAATACCAAAGATCACAAGAGAATACTATGAAAAACTATATACCAACAAACTGGACAATGTAGAGGAAATGGATAAATTCTTAGACTTATAGAATCTCCCAAAACTGAATCAAGGAGAAATAGAGAATCTGAATAGACCAATCACAAGGAAAGAGATTGAAACAGTAATCAAAAACCTCCCCAAAAATAAAAGCCCAGGACCAGATGGCCTCTCTGGAGAATTCTACCAAACATTCAAACAAGATTTAATACCTATCCGTCTCAAACTATTACAAAAAATTGAAGAAGACAGAATGCTTCCCAACTCATTCGATGAGGACAACATTTCTCTGATACCAAAACCAGACAAGGACAACACGAAGAAGGAAAATTACAGGCCAATACAGCTGATGAACATAGATGTAAAAATCCTCAACAAAATATTGGCAAATCAAAAACAGCAATACATTAAAAGAATCATATACCATGATCAAGTGGGATTTACATCAAGGATGCAAGGATGGTTCATCATCTGCAAATCAATCAATATGATACACCACACTAACAAATGAGGAATAAAAACCACAGGATCATCTCAATAGATGCAAAGAAAGCATTTGATAAGATCCAACATCCATTTATGATAAAAACTCTCAATAAAATGGGTACAGAACGAAAGTATTTCAACATAATAAAAGCCATATATGACAAACCCACAGCCAATATCATACTCAATGGGGAAAAACTGAAAGCCATCCCTCTGAGAACAGGAACAAGACAAGGGTGCCCACTCTTACGACTCTTATTCAGCATAGTACTGGAGGCTTTGGCTGGAGCAATTAGGCAAGAAAAAGAAATAAAAGGTATCCAAATTGCCAAAGAAGAAGTGAAACTCACTATTTGCAGATGACATGATTCTATATATAGAAAACCCTAAAGAATCCATCAGAAAACTATTAGAAATAATCAACAACTACAGCAAAGTTGCAGAGTACAAAATCAACTTACAAAAATCAGTTGCATTTCTATACTTTAATAACAAACTAACAGAAAGAGAACTCAAGTATACAATCCCATTTACAATCACAACAAAAAGAATAAAATATCTAGGAATAAATTTAACCAAGGAGGTGAAACACCTATACAATGAAAAGATTAAGACATTATTGAAAGAAATCGATGATGACATAAAGAAATGGAAATATATTCCATGTACATGGATTGGAAGAATAAACATAGTTAAAATGCCCGGACTATCTAAAGCAAACTACAGATTCAACACAATTCCAATCAGAATCCCAATGACATTCTTCATGGAAAAAGAACTAGGAATCCTAAAAATTCACATGGGGCAACAAAATTCACAACGGGCAACAAGAGACTCTGAACAGCTAAAGCAATCCTGAGAAAAAAGAACAAAGCTGGAGGTATCACAATTCCTTAGTTCAAAATATACTACAAAGCTATAGCATCAAAACAGCATGGTACTGGTACAAAAACGGACACACAGATCAATGGAACAGAATTGAGAGCCCAGAAATAAAACCACACATCTACAGACAGCTAATCTTTGACAAAGGAGCTAAGAACATACAATGGAGAAAGGAAAGTTTCTTCAATAAATGGTGTTTGGAAAACTGGACAGTCACATGCAAAAGAATGAAAGTAGATCATTATCTTTTGCCATACACAAAAATTAACTCAAAATGGATCTGATATCATAAGACCTGAAACTATAAAACTCCTAGAAGAAAATACAGGCAGTGCACTCTGACATTGGTCTTAGAAGCATCCTTTCGAATACCATGTTTACTCAGGCAAGGGAAACAAAAGAAAAAATGAACAAATGGGACTACATCAGACTGAAGAGCTTCTGCAAGCCAAAGAAAACCAGGAACAAAACAAAAAGACAACCCCCCAACTGGGAGAAAATATTTGCAAATCATATATCCAATAAGGGGTTAATCTCCAAAATATATAAAGAACTCAACAACAAAAAACCAAAAACCAGATAAAAAAATGGGCAGAGGATATGAACAGAAGTTTCTCCAAAGAATATATACAGATGGCCAACAGGCACATGAAAAGATGTTCAACATCACTAATCATTAGGGAAATGCAAATCAATACTACAATGAAATGTCATCTCACACCCATTAGAATGGCTATAATTACCAAGCCAGAAAACAAAAAATGTTGGAGAGGATGTGGAGAAAAGAGAACCGTCATCCACTGCTGCTGGGAATGCAAACTGGAGCGGCCCTTATGGAAAACAGCATGGAGATTTCTCAAAAAATTACAAATAGAAATACCATACAACCCTGCTATTCCAATACTGGGTATTTATCGAAAGAACTTGAAATCAACAATTCAAAGAGACTTATGCACCCCTACGTTCACTGCAGCATTATTCACAACAGCCAAGAAGTGGAAGCAACCCAAGTGCCCATCAACTGATGATTGGATAAAGAAGATGTGGTATATATATATACAATGGAATACTACTCAGCCAGAAAACAAGACAAAATCATCCCATTCACAACAACATAGATGGACTCTGAGGGTATGATGTTAAGTGAAATAAGCCAGACAGAGAAAGGCAAACACCACATGATTTCACTCACTTGTGGAAGACAGACAAACACAGGGACAAAGAGAACAGATTAGTGGTTACTAGAAGAGAAGGGAGTTGGGGGATGGGCATAAGGGGTTAAGGGGCACATATGTAGGGTGACTGACAAATAACATACAACTGAAATTTCACAATGTTATAAACTATTATGACCGCGATAAAATAATTTAAAAAAAACAACCAGTTGATTCTTCCCAGTGCCACAGACAGCAGCTCTCAGCCTTTTCTCTGCCACAACACAGTTGGGTCATGAAGCTCATATGAGACATACTTCCTCAGCAAGCAGAGTTTAGGGGGAGCACAGGTTATAAAATAAACACCCCTCCCTCTCCCACTGCAGAAAGCACAGCAAAATATGAAATGAGAGGAGTACTATAGGCATAACTTTAT